CTGTTAATGTAAAATGTAAATTGTAAAATATAAACTACCACCCACCTATCACCTCCACTACCACTCACTCCACCTACCACCTCCACTACCACCTTCACCTACTCCCAAATCCTCTCCTATATAAATCCTTGTAATATACATCAATCAATACAACATTCATCAATCAATATATACACAATTTATTTTCTCTCTCTCTATTAATTTATCTTACATGATCGGATGATTTTTTATTTTTTATTTTTTTAATTAAATATAATGATTGGATAATCCTTTTGCATAGCCATCAAAAATGGCAAACATTGCAGGGGAAATTTTAGGAGTATAATCGAAAGGATTTTCCAATCACATTACAAGCTGTTTCCCATGGATAACAAAGAAGCAAGAACTATCAAGCTTCTCTATAGTGTCAAATTGAGAACGACCTCGCTATCAATGGTTGACCACTCTTACAAGAATATTATCACTAAATGCACCATACAAACATCCACACTGAATGGGAAGTTGTAAGTTTTCTAAACACAACTGTATATTAGATTGAATTGATTGAACAAAGAATACATACATCATTTATATAGAGTACCACTAATTCCTAACCCTACATGGATACATCACTGAGATATATAGAAGTCTAATAGATATAGGACACTTATTCCTAATCCTAGGAGAACACATATTCTCACACCCCCGCTCAAACTCAAGGTGTTTTAGCAGAAAACACAGAGAGTTTGCTAAGAAGAAACTGAAACCGAGTAGTAGTGTGAGCCTTGGTGAAGAAGTCCGCAAGTTGCAAAGTTGAAAGGATGAAAGGATGCAAGATAGAGGCGGACTGCAGATGTTGGCGAACAAAGTGACAATTAATCTCAATGTGTTTTGTCCGCTCATGGAAGACAGTATTGTGGACAATCTGAACAGCACTGCGGTTGTCACAATAGAGAGAGGTCGGAGAAGACTAAGAGACACCCAAATCAGACAAAAGACAACAAAGCCAAACAATCTCAGCAATGGCATGAGCCATAGCACGATACTCAGCTTCGGCAGTAGAGCGGGCAACGACTGATTATTTCTTATTTTTCCAAGAGATTAAGGAATCACCAAGAAACATACAGAAACCAGACGTAGACTTGCGATCAGTAACATCACCAGCCCAATCAGAGTCAGCATAGGCCACCAAGTCCAAAGAGGAAGTAGAGGACAATATTAAGCCTTGAAATATGGTACCCCTGAGATAGCAAAGAATGTGAACCAAAGTAGCCCAATGGGTAAAGCGAGGAGCAGAAACGAACTGACTAACCACATGAACAGCATAAGCAAGATCAGGGCGAGTGACAATTAGATAAACTAAACAACCCATAAGCTCGCGATATAAAGTAGGATCATCCAGAGGGACACCATCAGTAGAATTAAGCTTCACATTAAGCTCAATAGGTGTATCAGAAACCTTAGTATCGGTAAGACCAGCATGGTGAATGACTTCATTACCATACTTAGCCTGAGACAGAAAATAGCCCGAGACAGAAAATAGCCCTTTGGAGAAGAAGCAACCTCAATACCAAGAAAATACCGTAACGGACCCAAATCTTTCATTTCAAAGGTGCGGAAGAGATGCTGCTTGACCTCAGAGATAGCAGAAGAGTCAGAGCCAGTGATGATCATATCATCCACATACAGTAAGAGAGCAACAAAACCAGCCGATGTATGTCTCAGAAATAAACCAGAGTCGGAAGCAGAAGAATGAAACCCAAGCTCAGTAACAGCAGTCTGAAAGCGATCATACCAAGCACGAGGAGACTGCTTCAGACCATACAGAGAACGCCGAAGACGACAAACTTGGCCAGAGGAATGGGGAAGACCAGGGGGAGGACGCATGTAGACCTCCTCAGTGAGACAACCGTTAAGAAAAGCATTCTTTACGTCCATCTGATAGAGAGGCCAATGTCGAACAGCAGCAACAGAAATCAAGGTACGGACAGTAGTCATCTTGGCAACAGGTGCAAAGGGCTCCTCATAATCAATACCATACTCCTGTGAGAAACCCTTGGCAACCAAACGAACTTTGTAGCGCTCGAGAGAACCATCAGAATGAGTCTTGACTTTATAACCCATTTGCAACCAACGAGATTCTTGCCAGCAGACAAAGGAACTAACTCCCAAGTGTTAGTCTTCTGTAAGGCAAACAACTCATCCTCCATAGCTTGAACCCAATTAGGATCCTGACAGGCCTCCGTGTAAGATTGTGGTTCTGAAAAAGAATGAATAACAGACAAAAAAGTACGATAGGAAGCAGAAAAACATGTATTAGACCAACCCAACTTGTTTGGAGGACGACGCTCACGAGTAGGATATCGGTGTGTAGCAGGATCAAAGTCATCAGAAGCAAAAGGAGCAGCAACAGGAGTAAAGACTACTGGTGGTGGGGGAGCCTGACAACGAGAATAGACCAACAACGGAGGGGGAGAAGAAGCTGAAGGAGGAGAAGGAGCCATAGGTGACGTAGACGGAGAAGTACGAATGGACTCAACAGGAACAGTGGAGATGTACTCATCAGATGGGACCTCAGAAGGAAATGGGTCAATGTGTACCAAATCCTCTTTGGAAACTGGAGCAGTGAGAGGAGGAAGCTGAAAGTAAGACAGACGTTCGAGAAAGGCAACATGACGGGAGACATAAAGGCGACGAGAGACAAGATCGTAACAGCAGTAGCCTTTTTGAGTAAGACTGTAACCCAAAAAGACACAGAGGACAGACCGAGCACTAAGTTTGGTCCTATCTTTGCGGGAAAGAAGGACAAAATAGGCAGACCCAAACACACGAAGAAGGAAGTAGTTAAGAATGTGGGAGAACAAAGCCTCATAAGGAGACTAACTATAAAGAAGGGGAGTAGGCATGCGGTTGAGAAGAAAAGCAGCAGTAAGAACTGGCTTCCCCCAGAATGGAGCCGGAACTGAGGCAGAGAGAAGAAGAGACCTAGCTGTCTCAAGGAGATGACAGTGTTTACGCTCGGCTCGACCATTTTGGGCAGGTGTATCTGTACAGGAAGTTTGATGAATGGTACCCAAATTGGCCAAATACTCACAAAACTCATTTTTTAAATATTCTCCACCTAAGTCAGACCGTAACACTTTAATAGTAGACCCAAGCTGAGTAGTAATCATAGACTGAAAGGTACGGTATATCTGATAGAAATTAGACTTATGAGTCATAAGATAAACCCAAGTGTAACGGGTGCAATCATCAACAAATGACACATAGTATGCAGAACCCCCCTTGGTGAGAATAGGAGAAGGACCCCAGACATCAGTATGAACTAAAGAAAATGGTGTAGCAGATATAAAAGTACTGTTACGGAAAGGTAAGGCTGTCATTTTGGCAAGTTTACACCCCCGACACTCGATAAGTTGACTAGGAGAAACTGTACCCAATATACCTGACTGAGCTAACGACCGTAAGCGGTCAGCAGACAAATGCCCTAATCTAGAATGCCACAAATAGAAAGGACTGAACAGAGAATCTAACTGAAAAGAAGAAAAGGCAGTTGGAGAGGTAGTCATAGGCAGATGCAAGTCTTCACCACATAAAGGTCTCTAACTCTACGGCCAGTCCCAATCTGCTGCTTGGACATCCGATCGTGCACAGAACAAATAGAAGAAGAAAAGATAACATCAAAACCAGAGGCATCAAGTTGACTAATAGATAATAAACTGACAAATAACTGAAGAACATATAAGACAGACGGAATAGAGACTGCAGACATAGCAGACGGTAGGACAAACCCAATAAATATAACTGACATACCCGACCCATTAGCAGCATTAACAGTAATAGGAAAGGGAGGGGGAATACAATTTTGAAATAAAGAGAGATAAGGAGTCATATGATGAGAGGCACCAGAGTCAAAAAGCCAGACAGACGAAGAAATACCTGAAGAAGACCCATGCAAACCTGAATGAAGAGAGGAAACAACTGAAGCAGACAGGGATGGCTGGGAGGTAGACAATATATGCTGAAGCTGGCTAATTTGAGCATTCAAGGAAGCCAAGTCAGGATCAGGATCAGGAGCCGGAGCAGAGACAGTGTATGCAATCGGAGACTGAGAAGAACTTAGATGTGGATCTCGGAACTGTGTCGGAGACTGCTGAGAAGACGGAGCATGCATACGTCTCTTCTTAGGACACTGATACTTCTAATGTCCCATCTAATGGCAGAAGGTACACTCATTCGAAGCCAGAGATATCATAATAATAAATAGAAAATTGAGGGGTTTAAAGTAGAGCAAAATAAGGGTTTAAATGTAATAAACCCAAAATATAACCAAAGTATAACCAGAGATCAAATTCATGAATAGACTGAAGAAAAACTAGAGAGAGAAGATCAGCTATCGAAGCATAGTGACCACTTCGAACCGATGGGTCGAACCGATGGGTCGACCAGATGGGTCACCCAAGACGACCAGCTATCGTCGGAGAAGAGAAGATCTTCGTGTGAGGCACGAAAGAGGCAGAGACAAACGACCAGAGTCCTATCGACTCAGATGAACTGTGACGAGGGTTTGTGCGACTTAGACGGGTTACGAAAATGGTTCACAACCTACACCCAGATCCCAGATGTGTCGCGATGAAACAGACAAATCAAGAGCCCAAAGAACCAGAGAGAGGAGAACCTGGTTCTCGAATCTGATGACCTTCGATGAACCAAATGGGTCTCGCGAGCCTAACAAATCATAGGCATGACTTGATGATAACTAGGGAGTTCGATCGAGTTTAGAAAACAGAGTCGAACTAGAAATCAGAACCAGAAAGGATTTCACGATGGCTGCTGGGGTTTGAAACCTAGCTCTGATACCATGCAAGTTTTCTAAACACAATTGTATATTAGATTGAATTGATTCAACAAAGAATACATACATCATTTATATAGAGTACCACTAATTCCTAACCCTACATGGATACATCACTGAGATATATAGAAGTCTAATAGATATAGGACACTTATTCCTAATCCTAGGAGAACACATATTCTCACAGTTTTCACATGTGTGCGTTTGCTCTTCTACTATTTTACTCATAGTTGGCTGTTTGTGATGCATTCCAGCCTCCCTGGGATACAGAAATTGGCAACAAGTTCATCATTCATTACACTTATGGATGTGATTATGACATGAAGGTATTCATTCTCTCTAAGTCCTTGTTATGACGAAGATTCAAAATTAAAAAAAAAAGTGTTTTGATGAAAAATATAGCAATTGAATCTGTTTCCAGTATACCAGCAAAGGGAAAGAAGGGAATTATGGGGATTGAGGGAAAGGGGCCCAGGGTGTGAGAGGAACATGTTCCTCAATATATTATTTCACTTATTAATGTCAACATTTCATTTTATGATGTTCAGGGTAAGTTGACCTATGGAAAGATTGGAGAATGGAGATTTGACAAAAGATCCTATGATACTGTCTGGCCTCCAAAAAATCTTCCATTGCCTCCACCTGGTGTTGCAGAAAGTGTGGTATGTTTTGGTTCATAATTGAAATGCTAACCTTCAATTGCAAGTGTTTTTCCTCTCTATCTCTCTCTAAATTTTGATACTTATGAAGGTACTTCCTATGTGCATATTTGGCACCCAAAAAAAAAAGGTCTTCAGGTTGCAACTGAAAACATTTGTTGACACTTATTTAACCAAAAAAGTGAAAGAAAAAGAAAAAGTAGTTCTAGGGTCTCAATTTCATAATTATTTAACCAAAAAAAGCTATAACCAGAACCAATTTCATTTGAACATAACATAAAATATCTGATATGGGGTTATGGGAGGAAGAAATTCCTCAGGTTTTGCAAATTTTTGATCAATTGAGAGAAAGAGAGGCATGCTAAGCCTTTTTATGAATGAAATCATGCTTGTCGGCGTGAGTACTGAGAAAGATCCTGGCTTGATCCAGATTGGTTCCACACTATCTTCAAGCGCGAGTGATTTGTCGCTTTTTTAAAAACCTTCAAAAACAAAATGTTTTGCGCGGTCCTGTGAATACTTGTTTGGAATTGCTCTTGAGATTGTGCAGCCTAGGATCACTTTCAGCCTCAAGATTCGACCTGTTTGTGTTGAACCTCGAACTTATTCGGAACATTCAACGGTCAACTGTCAGAGGAGGCTCGTGTGGCCAGTTTTGAAGCAGCCCTCGAACAAGAGGCACCAAAGCCGAATCAAAAAGATTAGATCTCACCAGAAGAAGCTTGTGGATCAGCCATGATGGATTCTCCTACAAATCATTGCAACAGCCGTTCTCCTAGACATAGAGAGGCTTCAACTTCAAAAACCATTTGGCATGGACTTGTTACACTTTTACCCTTTGAGAGGTTCGCTGGGCCGAAAACCCGGAAGGGCGACCCAGGCAAAAGTTAGAGCAAGAGAAAAATACAAAAAAGTAAAAAATAATAATGCAAAAGAAAAGAAAAAAGAAAGAAGAAAAGAAAAAATGCGAAAAAGAAAAGAAAAAGAAAAACAAAAAAAAAGGAAAATAAAAAGAAGCTCGTAAGGTCGAAAACCCGCATCGGGCGTCTTGGCAAAAGTTAGAGCCTGAGAAAGTGAAGGTTAAAATACCCGAGTGTACCTTAACCGGAACTACGTAAGGCTTGATTCCCATGTTTGGGATACGTAGGCAACTTCATTCTGAAGTCCAGCCCCCAAAGCTTTCATAGCGTCTCAAGTCCATGCAATGGTTTCGATTTCATCCCAAAGTCCAGTCGCCAACGCTTCCAAGGTGACTGTGTCCATATATTTGTTATAACTGTCTTTGTCTTCTCTGTGCTTGAGGGAGTTCGGTCATGATCATCACTAGTGAAGACTGTTTGCGGACTGCTGCGGCAACATCCAAACAAGGGACAACTTTCCGTTGCCACGAGCCGTCGCGAGACGCCATTCAAACCAGGGGCAACTTTCCGTTGCCATCCACCCCTTTTAAGCCAGGGACAATTTTCCATTGCCTCCGATCCAAGGTTGCGTATCTCAAAGAGGTCGCCAACGCTTCCAAGGTGACTGTGTCCATATATTTGTTATAACCGTCTTCGTCTTCTCTGTGCTCGAGGGAGTTCGGTCATGATCATCACTAGTGAAGACTGTTTGCGGACTGCCGCGGCAACATCCAAACAAGGGACAACTTTCTGTTGCCACGAGCCGTCGCGAGACGCCATTCAAACCAGGGGCAACTTTCCGTTGCCATCCACCCCTTTTAAGCCAGGGACAATTTTCCATTGCCTCCGATCCAAGGTTGCGTATCTCAAAGAGTAGGTTCCATGCTCGTCGAGCATTAGCCGTTTGCAAAAATAGTTTTTGAAAATTTTTACTGAGGTTGACTATTTTCTCGAAAACTATTTCGTTTTCCAAAACTGGACCATTTCTTGGACCCAAAAAAAAAAAGAAATTTTCAGTGCCCACAGCCTGACTTGCGTGGTTTTCAAATCAAAAATCGAACAAGTACGTTAATCCGACTCTCATCTTGATCAAAACTATTTTAGTAGAAAATCAAAACAAAAAATGGTCAAAATGATAAACTAGGGGCACAGTTGATTCAGGCGTTCTGTCTTTCCCCCGTCGTCAACATGCTTGCCAGGAGGGCACTCTACCCACCAGAAGAAATCGCTGTGAGCTAACGACATTGGGCATGAACCCGCAACTTCCTATTCATCCATTAATCACCTTGGGGAGGGACGAAAAATGAGAGAATAAAGAATAGAGAGGTGTAAGTTGAGAGGAAAAGCGAGCCGAAGGGTTTTGAGAGAAAAACCGAGCTTGAGTGCCAGAGTGATGTGAGAATCACAAATAAGAAAATGGTGGGAAACGATACCCAGAGAAACTGGCTCCTCGTGATCTGAGGTCCTCCGTCTCCTTTAACATGTCTGTGTGTCGTGTCTTTCATTTTTGTTTACCTCAACCTTTGTTTTGAGTCTTTTCCGAGCATGCCTCGTTGTGTTTAGGTCGTGTACCCTTCTGTTCGAGTCCTCCCCGCTGTGTTCAGTTGTAGGCTCGATACCCCGGTTTGAAAATCCGTTTTTATTTCGAAAATCGTTTATGCTCAGAGTGCTGTGCTATTCTCTACATTTGTACGAAGTAAAAGAACAAAAAAATTGGGGCATCTGAGTGTGCTTCAACTTCAGCTGGTTTCATCCCCGTAATCCGTCTTGTCAGATTGTGCTGTTTCTTCAGGATTTGTTGCGTGCAAAATGAACCGATTGCTGTGTTACGGGCTGTATACAGATTAATCCCCAGTAGGGTAAGGGCTGTGTATCCAGGATCAGGCAATGGGTTGCTTGGGTTATTTTTGCTATTGGCTGTTTAGTTATCTGATTATTACAGTGCAAGGGTTCAATTTTCAGACAACCAATCAATTTCATTTGCATTGAGTTGTAATATGGTGTGATGCAATGCAAAGCATGAAATGTAAAGATATACGGATGTAAACACTTTTTTAGATAAAAAGCCTGTTTCATTTCATCATCTTTTCAAGTACACAAGTTTTGGAAACAAAAATCTGCCTGCAGCAGTACAAAGTATCCTAACTACCAACAAAAGGGAAAAAAATACAAGAAAGAAGAAAAACAACAAAAATCTACATCCATGTCAAGCAGCTCTGAGGGCTATCGGTCTGTCCTAGTCCTCTTCCTGGATGAAGGTCCAGGAGCATCATCAGCATCGTCATCAGAGCCCGAGCTAGTGCCACCTCCGGTCTCCTCCTCTGACGACTCCACCTCCGACTCTGCCTCCGCCTCCTCATCATCATCATCAGGGATTGGAGCCCGCGAGCTACTCCCGACATGAACACGCCCCCCTGGTACGGGGACGTACAGCGTCTCCACGCCCTCCTCGAGTAAGAATAGAGGGCCCAGCCGGAGCACCACCCACCAGAGGAATCTGGAAGGGAGGCTGAAAAGCACAAAAGGCGAATGCATCAGTATATTGTGGACAGTTTATCAGTGCAAAATGTAGTGTATGGGAACAGTGTGAATAATGTGAGCAGTGTATCAGTGCAGAATGCAGTGTATGGGTACAGTGTGAACGTCGTGATGCATTAAAACACATCCCAAACCCTTGTGAGAAGCCTCACTGTATACAGTATAACCATCCGTACCTGAGGGTAAGGTGAGAATCGGTGCAGTCACTAGTCGAGTTTTCAACTCCTGAAAAGCTGATTCCCTCTTATTGGTCCAGTCAAATGATATCCCCTTCTGAGTCAGCTGTGTCAGTGGTAGAGCAATTTTGGAGGAATCTTTGACAAACCTTCTGTAATACCCAGCCAAGCCTAGAAAACTTCGGACTTCGGTAACATTTGTCGGTCTAGGCCAGTTCACCACTGCTTCAATTTTCTGTGGATCAACTGAAATTCCATCTTTACTGATTACATGCCCCAAAAACATAACATTGTCAAGCCCAAATTCACATTTAGTTAGTTTTGGACAAAGTTTCTATTCTCTTAGGGTCTGTAGGGCAATTCTCAAATGATGTTCATGTTCCTCCATGCTTTTGGAATAAATTAAAATGTCATCTATGAATACAACAATAAAGTCATCGAGGAATGGTTTAAAAAATCTGTTCATAAGTGTGGACGCACCCTCGGGCTTTATGCCACCACAGTTCGGACTCCCTTTTGTGTCACGGTTCTTAGTCTGAACCAAATAGTCCAAATCCGGCACATCGTTTGGAAAACAGATTTTTGTAAAGAAGTGTCAAACATGGACTACTTTGCCAGATACGGAGTCGCCACCTAAATATTTTTTTAATGGGGGAATTTAGGAAACCCTGACTTGTTTGCCTAAGGCCACATGTCCGTCATTACCAAAGTTGCCTTGGCTCGGGAACTTGGGTACAATTGGGGAAGGTCAGCTATGAGCACCCCCTCTCACCCGATCCGAAGATCGGCCTCTACTAACCATGATATCCAATTTTGAAAACGTTATGTGTTCTTATTCTTGTTAATTAGCTAGAATTACTATGTGATGTGCACAGCAAAACAAGTATAGACTAGATCACCTAATTTCGAACAAAGCATCGCATATCCGTTTGTTTGGAAAATGTTTTGAAATTTGGTACTCGTGAGTAGGCTAAAACATGGATTTTGATGAGTTGTTCCAACTCAAACAATCCAACCTTCACCCACAGGCATTCAGGCAGTTCATATCACATAAGCATCTAGCCACATAGTAGGCATGTTGTCATGTCGTTAGCAATCAATGTATGATCCAAGTCCATGTTAAGTGCCTAATGCAACGCATACATAATGCAATTAGGATAGGCTCGGCTAATCCTAGGATGGCATGTGAAATACAACCATTAGATGCACGTATTCAAGTTAGATTTGAAATACTTATGCAGTTAGCATGATGCGCCGAGCCCGGTGCATGCAATACTGATGAATTCTGCACGCATGCATAGCATAAGGTATGCTAAATTAAATATGCCCTAATACTAACCATCAA